TGTTAAAATGGCTATTCTTATTAGAAAGAATGGCTTCAGTTTTCTCAAACATCCTGTGAATGACTTAACATTTAAAAATTAAAATACGCACATACTTCTCGTTCACTTCATCGCTTATCGAATAAATATAAATATATCTGAACTATCATCAAATGCTGCACGTAATTCTAACTCAAAAAAAGCTGATCAAACAAAAAAAACAACATCAAAACTGAGCAAGAAGTGCAGCTTGTGTCATAAGTTTATTTCCGAATAATTTTCCAAGTATCCCAAATGTGAGCAAAATGCGAAGTAATCGAATTTATTGAGCAGTTATGCTAAGCTTATATGTTAAAGTTACAAAGAAGTTGGTCGTTGGAATCTATCGTTAATCAAACTTTACGGTTTATTTAGAAGTTTTTTGTTGATTTTGTTTTTGAGAAGTATAGACCGAAAGTCTAAATTCTTTGATTGCTGCATTTACTAATTTCTGAATGGAAGTTTCATTTTCGTGTATTAAACATGAATACTAGTTAGGTTTGACTATTTCGAAATTATTGGAATCATTCACTTCTTCAGTTCAAACCACAGGCGTTTACATGTAATCCGCTGTAGCAAGCAAATCTAACAGATACTAAAAGACGCTCCTCAGGACACCCGCGATTTAGCAAAAAGATAGTTTTTTTTTTAAATTCCAACTTAGGCGATCTTATCATGTGGGGGGGTTCCATAGATATAGTCATGCAAAATCTTATGATCCCATCTTTGTGGTAAAAATTCAAACTGAATCTTAGGACAAAACGAGGTTTAAAAGTTGATTTTGCCTAATGTAAGGAAAGATGTGTCAGAATAGTTGAAAAAATGCAGACCATAACAAAGCAATAATGTTTATAAACTTGATACTTTCCCTTAAGACACATGCTCATATGTGTTCAATTCACACCGACTAAGATCAAATTAAATTGCAAGTATTCGCCTCAATATAATATAAGCAAGAAATTAGTGAAAGATCTCATGATATCCTTCGTAAAGGTTTTCTGTAAACTGGTTCTGGTCCATAGAGTGTCAAAAATAACTTTCCTTTCTATAAAACTACAGTTTGAACTAAATCAGGTTAGAGAAGATTTATACCCGGGTTGGCAAAAAAGTTCCTATTACGTTAAAATATTTCAAAGTAATATGAATTTTCTGACTCCTTCATTGAATGTGAATGTTTGAATTTTATGACTAATTGACATATTAGGTTTTCCCATATCTTCCGTGATTTTTTTACAGAAGTTCATTTTTGTCCCATATATACCAAGCCAGCGCTGTGCATATTTCGAAAGCTCTTTTCAACTAATAAGATCTTTCTCATCCTACTCACAACTCACTCGAGATTATTTAACATATTGAATTGAAATGTGACCTTGACAGAAGGTAATATTATCGATCCCAAAGTTTTTTTCCCGTAAAATATCTTAAATCCTTCGAACTCATTCATAAAGCAATTTTGGTTGCATTAACTTTACCAAAATGCACTACATATTTAACATTTCTCGCGACCTTTTTCCATTCTTTCAAAATTCTTCGATGTCATCACAACAAATTGGTGTTGCCTCTCGAAGAAGCCATTCAGTCAATTCTTGAGAGATGCTTCTTTTCAATGGTTATACCAAAATGACATCCTTTGAAGCAAAATTTGAAGAACACATGAGGTTGTAAAACCCTTCTTCCATGGTTTTTTGGTTTTCCAGTATGTGGAGTTTTGAAGGTCAGCCACTGAAAAAAAGCGACATTGTAATAGTACCACAGTATATAACATTTCTTTATAAATGGAACTACTCCTTTACAAATGTGGGCCAAGTTCAAAAAGCGAAACTAGCAGAATTCGAAAATGTTTCATGTCGGTCTGCAATCCCATTTTTGAACTCTAAAGTCCGAATAATCAAAAGTATTCGAGGATTAACGTAGTTCTGTGAAGCAGAAAAGAACTAACAAACTATAATAAACAACAATTGGTGGAGAAGTTGGAATTTTTTGGCAAATAAACGTCAAAAAAGTACGAGAAATTATGTAAATGCTGCAACGTCATTTATTTTAATACAACTATTTGTAAGAGTAAACGCTAACCTTTGAAGCTTTCCCTATCTTGAACGATCATCCGAATCTTTTATGATAGAAACTAGAAAAAGAACGCCTTCTTTGATTCAAACCTCAATAATTTAATTCAATGATATAGGCTAAAATTGTTATCTACTAACAACATATAAGGAGGTAACAAACTTCTGACAGCTTTAACAGTATGAAGTATATAACGCTAATTGTAGTTCACATCATGAGGGAAAGCACTACGTAAGGTTTTTTGGGTTAAACCAATGAAAAAATAAATCTGAATTTCTTTATGACAGTTCTTTGTGCAAGGGCCCTACATCTGTGAGAACTTCTGAGCAAAGTCATTTCAATTTCAATTTCTCAAATTGTAATCTATGCATGCATAACAATAAGACGTGTACCGTGAGGTTCAATGGTGACTATTGTTTCCGCGATTCAAACAATGCATGCAGTTATGATCAAATCTACTTCTTACTCTCTGCTGAGGCGACAGTGTCTAGGGCTCAATATCAGCAAACTGAATCTCGAAGGTGCCGCCATGACCATGTGTCAAAGAAACGATAATTTCTGCTTAATTGTGATTGCAGAATCATTGATCAACAGCAGAGGGAAGGAATATAGGAGTGAGGAATAAGGAGCGCATGGGTAAAGTTGACGCATGTCACAACAAAGCTGATTGGCCCATCTCTGCTTTAAGAGACTGATAGATGGAGCAAAAGTATTATCATTCTCGCCACATAAGGAAGATATTTAGCTGCTAATACGTAAGTGGCCAATACTACTGCAGCTGCTGAGGTTATTGGTCGGGTGTTACTGTAGCTGCTGACACGTTATGGTCGAATAACTGTAGCTACTGATACGTGACTGGTTGGTATGCTGTAGCTGACACGGATTGGCCGGGTGATACTGTCGTTGATAGGTGATTGGCCAAGTGTTACTGTAGCTACTGACACGTAATTGATCGTCTACTGTAGCTGCTACGTGATTGGAAGATTTGTTGCTAACGCTATGTGATCAGCGGAATTTGGTAACTATTCTATAATTGTTCAGTACTGGTGAGGGCGAAACGAATAACGTAGTGGTAAAATCTGAACTCACAGAGTATTTTTTTTATTTTAGTGCATTTCTCGGATGTTTAGAAGAATTTTATGAGGAATGAGGAGCTTAAAGAGTATGAAAAACAAATCACATTTATGAAGAATTTACCTCATTAACCAAGCTATTTCTTAGTCGTCATATTGGATTTGGTATCCTATCAAATAAAGCTGTTCCGATTAACTTTTATAATTTCAAGAAGGATTGCATTCATTAAGATAGAGACGATCAAAAGTAGTGATTAACAACTTTTCCTGACTGAATAGTGGTCAGCCGGACTTCTATAGTATATTTACATGTCTACCAAAATTATAGCCAATCTAACTGATCCAAAAATTTCTTCTCAAAACTTTAGGCTCCATTTTTTGAGATGCTATTGCCAGAATACTAGCAAGGAGCATCAAAGATATACGCTACCGTCAGTACAAGCTCCCATATTGCACGCTATCATTCATGCGATCAAAAAAAAATGGTGAAGGGGAAAAATAAGCAATTGGATTCCCTACAGTTGAATCAATCCCCGTCTTTAATTCACATACTCTATAAATTCAGTAACATCACTACGTTGCTAATCCCAAGTTTGGTACGGTCCGAGTTCAACACAAGGTCAAAAAGAAAAAGCAACACCACTACTAGGGGATAGGGAAAGAAATTCGATTTAGTAAAAACAAGTTGCTGTGATTGAATACAGTACAGGATCACATCCAAGAAGTGACAAAAATCTTTCAAGAAATGAAGTGATATTCCTTGAGTTAATAATAAGTAATCAAAAAATAAATCCGATTGCAAAAGGCATGTAAGTTTACAATCCGGCTACAATTTATATTCCCATTTCAAAAACGCTTCAACCCAAGCTGTAGCATCTGAGCAGCCTCTCTTTATAAAAAAAATAATGCGTTACAATCAGGTTGGATGTGCTGATGGCGCAGCAATTCTATAGTACAAAAGCATCTTTGCTTGCAGATGTATCACTGCAATTGATTCTTTTGAAAAAAGTATGATTAATTTGGGGAGGTATGAACGATGAATGAGCAAGAAAGACATGGACGGCGTCGATGCGCTAAACGGGTACATTTACTAAACTCTCGAGATCAGACATATAGACGTGAAAACATTCGTATTATATGGTTTATTATCTGGTGGTTACAATATCTCTGTTGCTGTTATATTATCGGCCAATAAATGTAGAACTGATGTATGATTGGTCAAGTGAGGCTGTAGCTGCTGATACGTGATTGGTTGAGTGGTACTGTAGCTGCTGATATGTGATTGCACTAAAACAGTGTAGCTGCTAGTACGTGGTTGCTCAAGTGCGGTTGTAGCTGCTGATATGTGATTGAACTAGGTCACTTTGGCTGCTAATACGTGGTTGGCTGAGTGGTACTGTAGCCGCTGATATGTGGTTGGACTAGTCGTAGCTGCTAACACTTGATTGGACAAATGAGGCTGTAACTGCTGATACGTGATTGGTTAAGTGATACTGTAGCTGCTGACATATGATTGGAATAGGACACTGTGGCTGCTAATACGTGGTTGGTTGAGTGTAGTGTAGCTGCTGATATGTGATTGGACTAGTACACTGTAGCTGCTAATACGTGGTTGGTCAGGTGAGGCTGTATCTGTTAACACGTGGTTGAGTGATACTGTAGCTGCTGATACGCAATTGGTCAAATGGTATGACTGCTGATAGTTGATTGGTCAAAAGGTACTGTAGCTGTTGAAACGTGATTGGTCGAGTGATACTGTAGGTGCTGATACGTTATTGGCCGAGTGGTACTGCAGCTGCTTATACGTAGTTGGTCAAGTGGTACTGTAGCTGCTAATACGTGATTGGTCAAATGGTATTGTGGCTGCTGATACGTGATTGATCGGATGATAGCTTGGCTGCTGATACTTGATTGGTTAAGTAATACAGTAGCTGCTGATACGTGATTAGTCGAGTGATACCGCAGTCGCTAACGTGATTGGTCAAGTGGTACTGTAGCCTGTGGTATTGATACGTGATTGGTCGGATGATAGTTCGGCTGTTGATACGTAATTGGTCATGCGGTACTGCAGCTGCTGATATGTGATTGGTCAAATGGTACTGTGGCTGCTGAGACATGATTGATCTAGTGATTTCGTTGTAGCTGGAACGTGATTGGTCAAGTGGTACTGTAGCCACTGATACGTGTTTGGTCAAATGATACTGTAGCCGCTGACACGTGTCGAGTGGTACCGTAGCTGCTGATACGTAATTGGTCATGCGGTACTTGGTCATGCGGTACTGTAGCTGCTGATACGTAGTTGGTAGTGATACTGTAGCCGCTGGCAATTGGTTGGTCAAGTGATACTGTAGTTATGCTTGAGTGTACATCCACTTGATGACATACCTAATTTTTTAAAAACGTTTCAACGATGGCAGT